GCCGAGACATCAGGTTGTGGAAGGAGTGACTGCTTTCTTAGAAACCCTTCTGACGTGGAAACAGAGCTATTCCTCTTCCCTTCAGAAGTGGCTCTGGAATTCCTAAAGTCAAAAATTCAGTATCAAGATGAAAACACTGATGGCTTGTGTTACACAAAGCAACGTGCTGGCGGCCGACCAACAGTGCTGCAAATTCTTTCTTCCTTTTGGCACCAAACTATTTCACTTACGAAGGACAGATGAAAATTATTCCAGATTTATGTTGGCTCTTGTCTGATGCTAGTTGTGTTTTTCTGATACAGCTTCTCTCTAATGCCCACAAAGCTTTGGAGGACATGTAAATATATCATCATCCTATCATTCCTCATGAAGAAAAAATTATTTCAGGAGGCCCCCAAATAAATGTAATATTTTGTCTGGACATGTAGATCCTTTCCATAGTGTGAGTGAGGAGCCTAGGCTGAATCCCAGGAATCAGTTCCTATTTAAGTAAATGGAGTGCAATCTTTCACCCTTAATTTGACCCAAATTCTATTGTAAATTTGGCAGCATGTGCAGCTCCAGACTAAATATTGTCAGATATTATTGGCTCCGATCAGCTGAAATAAATCCCTCCTCACCACAGCACCACCATTCTGGCTGTGCTGCCTCCTCGGCTGCTCAGTGCCTTGTGTTGTGGTGCCAGCACAGGGTGAGGGATGGAGAAGGGAGGCACATGCCACACCCCATCACATCTATGGGTGAAGGTCATGCAACACAGGCACAAAAACAGAGATGGCAGGGATGGCAGGGAAAAGAGGAGGCAGCCTTGTGATTGGAAAGGGTAAAAAGAAAACTACCAGGGATGTAAAACTATGTAAAACCCACCATGTTCTGCCACGGGGCTGGGGTGGGCAGTGGGGAAGGGCAGAACTGCCTGCCTTGCACACAGGGAGTGCGAGGTGCCTGGCACCCTCTGCACGTGGCTGCACCATCTGACTGGGTCCCTGTGAGCTAAGAGCTGCTGCCAAAGGCTTTTCTGGCCAAGGCTTGCCACAGCTGGGCTCCCAGTGACCCCAGAGTGCTGCCTCCCCTTCCCCTGGGGAAAGGAGATAATGTAGCAAATTGCAGGCAAACTCCAGGAAAATGAGGAGAGGATATTTGACTCGGAGATAAAAACCTCCTGCTTTTAAGTGTGCCAGAACCAAACCCCCTGCTTTGCCTACACCACGGAGCAGGGAGAGTCCTATGAATTGGCAATGGCAGACCTGTTCCTGTCCTCTTGCAGGCACGCTGCAAGTGGCTCAAAACCCCTATGCATTGTCACTCAGCATTGTAGGATAAGCAAAACTGTTTTGAAGACAACATTTTGTGAGTAAAGGCACATATTGGGGAAAGTTTCAGAATGGAAATGAGTCGAGAGAGACAGTGATGGGACTGGATATGTCAAATGAGAGGAGATGGTCCTTCAACCCCACCCACGCAGGCAGCTGCGTCATGTGTCAGCAGCTGATGCCACTTGTTCCCTAGAGAGTGGAGGACAAAGAAAGGAGCCTGGAGAAGCAAGGTGTGAGTGCACTGTGTGTGTGTGGATGCAGTTTGATGGTATAATTAAGCTACTGTTTAGATGTTAAGAGCAAGCACCCAGGGAAGAGCTGGTCACATCCCCTCCCACTCTCCTACCCCCTCTCTGATGCTGGCCTGTCTGTGTGCAGCCAAGGCTGGGTGCTGGGGCACTGGGCTGGCAGCACTCCTCATTTCCCAGTGTTGGATGAGGCAGTTTTTCCCCCTGAGATGGCTCCTTTGGTGGCAGGCATGGAGCACCCCTGGCACAGGGCAGTGGGTGAGCTCACCAGGTGGTTCCAGCAGACTCCCCATCGTCCTGTGCTGCTGCCACCCTGCCATGGCACCTGCACTGCTTTCAAGAGGGGTTGAGTGCTTATATGTCCATGAAGATCTGAGCCCGTGAATGCTGATTCACCTGCACTGCTGACTCAGGCTGCCGTCCCTCAGCGTCTCTCCCTCCCCTCCATTCCAGGTTCAGCAGCAGGTCAGCAGCACAGGCAGGGTATTTGCTTTGGTCCTTGCAGCTCACAACGAGACACCACCACTGGGCTCAGAGCACGTTAATATTTGGGGCACTGAACAGCGGCAGCCAGGGGCTGTTGGCTTGTTTGAGCTTACAGCATCACCAAAGGGCAGTTCCTCTGTCTCAGTCCACCCCCGACTTCCTGCATGTTTCCTACAGTCCATGTGTTACCCCCACAAGAAAAATCTACTTGTTTTTCAGCTGGACAGGGGGCTGGCTGGCTGTATGGGCCCCACCACGAGCCTGGGGAAGGTGGTGAGGGTGGCCCTGCAGGAGATGGAGGGGGAAGGCCCACCCTTCCCAAGGGCAGTGCAGATTTGGGCAGCTATCTGGCACTGTTTCTCCTCAGCCCTGTTTTCATGACTGCTCAGCTATGATAGCCAGTCTTTTGTCTGAGAGCCCTGCTCTCCTCTCCCATCATAAACCACTCTGACCAGGCACCTCTCCACCTCCAATCTCACAACTCCAGACAGACAATAAACTTGATCAAGTGGTGTATCCACAGGGAAACAGGTTAAGAGGCAGCTTCTCAGCCAGTACAAAACGAAGCCAGCAGAGTCTCAGCCACTCACACACACCTCAGCCAGTCTTTGCCTCTGAATGGACTTTTCCACAAAGCACAGCAGCAGTTTTCTCTTTCCTCTCACCAGCTGCCTGGGCTGTGCTAAACCTACAGACTCCTTTGGACTCATGAAAATTAAAATGCTTGGAAATGGGGACAGGCACTGGGCTGTCCTGCCTTAGGGTGTTGTACCAGCCACTCTGAACCCTGACTTTTCTCCAGCTGCCAGCTAAGCAAACTATCTCCCCCATCCCCTTCCTCCTCAGCTTGCTCATAAACAGGTGATTTCCATCCAATTTCCATCAGCAAGATCATTTAAGCTGCAGGGCTGGCAGCCTTGGGAGAGGAATAGAAAGTGGTTTTGCAGTAGATCTGATGGCTTTTTCCCTTTGCTGCTTTAGCAGCCTACTTCTCTGGGGGGCAAAGGAGCAGGTCTTGTTTGGCTCAAGCCTTCTGAAGCATTTCTCTTTGGTTGTTTAGGGGTAAGAGTTAGTTACAAGATGTCACCTTTCTGTCCTGATTCATATGTGGGGAGTGCATTAAGCCTGTGCAGAACTGGGACTGCAGGTGACAGAAATGGGGGCTTTTTCTGGGACTACACGTGAGGCACCTCCTGGGCTGTGTTCCACTGTCACATCTGGCTAATCCAGAAATCTCTTCATTAAACGTTTTTTTTTGTTTCTATTTCCTGTGTGTGTGTTCTTTTGTGCCTGACTTCCACAAAATTAGACTTGTCTAAGATACATCAGTAATCTCTAGCTACTTCCAAAAGAGACAAAATCACTTTCAAACCTCAGCAGATCAGTGAGAGCGAGAAAACTTCCCTTGTGCAATACACTTTGCTCCTCACCTCTGCTTCCTGTTTATTCCTGATGTGATGCCCCACTCTGTAAAGCCCTCCTGTACACAGGTTTGTTCAGCCTTGCAAGAGCTTCCTCTGTAATATTTTGTTCCCTACTCCCTGTGTACTTTTTTTGAAGAATCATTTGCTTTCAAAATAGATTGAGGTACTGCCAGGCTGAGCTGACTTACTTCTCGGTAAATTTTTGGGTGAATATTGACAGACTCTGAAAAGCTGGCTGCACTGCAAGAAACTTTCTTTAGAGTAAGAAAAAAAATGCTTTTTCTTGACAAATGATTGTTGCTAACCTTTGCTGATCATTTTAACTACCACCATGCCCATGGGAATTCAGCATCAACAAAAGCTGTAGTGCCTGGATTATCCTAAACTGTGCCAGTAAGGACTCTTGCATCTTAGTGAAAACATCCTGAGCTCAGTTATTTTGCCTTAAGGCCGAATGGTTGCCTGTCTTTAAACTGACAGATACACTCTTTGCAAAATGAGCATGATTTTTAACTCAAACACAAGCTACCACCCAGATTTACATCGTTGTAACAAGATCTTTTGCAAAGAGTTATTGAATAAGATTCAGGTAGGGAGGTTTATTCCTAGGAACTTGCATATAGCTTCATGAAGTGATGCTGCATCTGACATCTGATGCTGCCAGGACTTCATTTAAGCCTGTACGGGATCCATATCTTCAGTCACAAGGGTCTGAAAATGTCAGGTTTGGTTTGGGTTGATAGTGCCTGTGTAAATAATCATCCTTTTTTAAGGTGTTGAAATTTTCTCTTTAAATGCTACAACTTCCTTAAGGTTTGTTCTGGACTTTCAGAAGTAACTGGCAGCTCATTAACAGCTTTTTATTAGCACTGAAAACCACAGGAGAGAAACTGCACAGGTCATCTGGAACCCTTGGCTTTGGTAGGCAAAAGGTGCTTGTTTCCAGATATGTGCAGTCCTGGGTGTTTTCATTTCACAAAGAAAAATGTCTTTGTGGAGAAATCTCTTATATGGATGAGGTGGTGAAGTGTTGGATCATTTTGATTACGCCACGCAGGCAGGCTGAGGGGAACTGAGAAGTCTTGCTCCTCTTGACCCCCAAAGGGACAACCCTCTGCCTTTTTTCTGGTCTCAAATGCAAGCTGATAGCAAGCACATCAAATCAAAGTCATGATTTGGCCAGTTTATCAAAACAACTCTAAAACCTGAAAGATAACAAGCATGGAGTACAAGTCCTGTGAGGAGTGGCTGAGGGAGCTGCAGTTGGTCAGCCTGGAGAAGAGGAGGCTGAGGGGGGACCTTCTCTCTCTCTACAAGTCCCTGAAAGGAGGTTGTAGCCAGGTGGGGGTCGGTGTCTTCTCCTAGGTAACAAGCAACAGGGCGAGAGGAAATGGCCCCAAGTTGTGTCAGGGGAGGTCAGGAGCTTAGAGATTAGACTTGTTTTCCAACCTTAACGAGTCCATGTGTGGGCTGGTTGATGTGTTACATGTTTGGCACTAAAGGAGCCCTGTTTGTGCCCCTCTCAGGCGTGGCGGAGGCGCTGGTTCGTGCTGCGCAGAGGCCGCATGAGCGGGAACCCAGACGTGCTGGAATACTACAGGAACAACCACTCCAAGAAGCCCATCCGCATCATCGACCTCAATGAGTGCGAAGTGCTGAAGCACTCGGGGCCCAACTTCATCAAGAAGGAATTTCAGAACAACTTTGTCTTCATTGTGAGGACCACCTACCGCACCTTCTACCTGGTAGCCAAGACTGAGGAGGAGATGCAGATCTGGGTGCACAATATCAGCCAGATCTGTAACTTTGGACATCTAGAAGATGGCACAGGTAGGATCATGGTCATCTTGGGGGCTGGGAGAATGCCCAGGAGTGACAGGAGTCGTGGACTTTGCTGGCTGGTTGGGCTGGGCAGGTGTAATAGGACTATGATTCCTACAGCTCCACCCAGCACTGAGGTGCTGCTAAACTCTGATCTGAAGGTTCTCAGGGATCTCACTGCTGCTGAGTGGAAATACTAACTGGCTGCTTGGTCTCATTTTGATGAAGCCATTGCTGATAGAACAAACAGCAGGTCCTTAATAAGAAAAGGTACTGTTTATGTGAAAAGCTGACTGGGTGTTATATTCTGGGGCCGTTTATTTCATTACATGTCCTGTATTTATTTAGTTTGGCTTAACGTAAGACACCTGTTCCAGGAAAGTGTCCTGCAAAACTCCCATTTTCTCAGGCATTGCTGAATGTGGAATGTGCACAGACTTGGGTGTATATGCCTGTACATAAATCAATGACAGAAATATTAAGCTGTCTTAGTCTGTTAATGATACAAAACAAAGAAAAGGCAGAGGATAGGAGAGCATTAGAAGTGTGTGTCTAGACTTAAGAGATGGTCCTACCAGTGAAGCATAAAGGCAGCTGTTTTGCCAGGCCCTACACCTGTATATGCTCAGCAGGGTGAATCTCTTGGAAAGCTTCCAAGAATTAACCACTCCAAGATGGATGTAACCAGTAATTAAAGTCAGGACTTGTATCATCATTAACTTACCTTTTAAATGAGACAATTGGGCTCAGATAACAGCAATTTGTCTTTCCCTTGACATTTCCAAGAGGCAGATACAGCAGCAATCTGAGAGTTTTAGAGGAAGTGAGTCAGAATGAAGTCCTTCAGTACGATAAGAGGCAGCGCAAGAGTAGAAAAGGGTGGCAATGGAGGGACTTGATCGCAAGGGCAGTAATATGTTTGGGGGTATTGTAGTGTGGCCAGGCAGGTTATCTTGCCATGGTCTCTGTGCTGCTGCACTCAGAGTGCTACTGGTGTCTGCAACTGCTGCATGGCCACACCATTACCTCATAACTTGAAACAAAAGGCTATGGGAGAGGCTTTATTTTAATCTATCACAGTTCTTGGCATTCCTTAACCTTCTCTTGGGTAGTGTCTTCTGAGGGAAATGTGAGTGTGAAGAACACTGCAGTGGTCCTGTGACAAATGTGATATCTGTTCTTTTCCCATTCACTTTAGAAACCACCAGAAAAACGTGCTGACAGATTTTTGTGTCAGTACAAGCTGCCCATGAATACAAATTCTGAAATAGAGCTGGTAGCTTTGAGGGATTGGCATCAACAGCCCTTTGGAGCTTGGATGTAATTAGAGATATTCAGTATCCACCTTCTTATTGTTCTGCCTTTGTTGACACTGAAACATTGCTCTTGCATTGTTATTTCTGGTGCAGGATTATTTTAGATATAGTTTTACCAATTATTCTGAAGTTAAGGTAAGCCCTTCCACGTAAAACAGAAGAGAGAAAAATAATTTTTGTCTCTCAAATGTGTAGGCAGCCTTCTCCTGGCACTGTGTAAGGATGTGCATAGGGGGATGTGATCTGTGGCAGAGGAGATAAGACATCCCTGGACAGAGGCATTTATCCTGGGAAGTGCCTGTTCTGTTTTGCTGTTGCAGTGCAGCATTGCCTGTAAGACTTGCACATGGGCAATACTCATAGTATTACACAGTTGTGTTTCTCTCCCAGCAAAGATTGCCAGTGTGGACACTGATGGATGAGAAATGGCAGCTCTTGCAGCACTGGTTGGGAAAGCTGACACCCCAGCTTTCCAAGGCAGACACTGCCCCGCACGAAGTTCAGCAGTGCAGAGCGTTTGCCTTGGTTCAGTGCAACGTCTGGCACCTGAACTTACAGCCCTCATCGGGGATGGTGTGAGCTAAGCCTCCAGACATGCACTTACTGTATCTCTAATGCCAAATAGCTCATAAGAGCTTCTATTTATCCTGCAGCTCATGCCGGTGAGCTCAAGTCTGGGGTGTATTCAGGTCAGGCTGCTGGGCATATTCAGATCCTCTGATTTAAATCTACACGGCTCCACAAGTTGCACATCATATTTCAAACAGTTACTAATTGCTTCAGCTTTTCGGAAGATCCTAAGTCCCCCAAGAGCCTGTAGATTTAAACAAATTACCCTTAAAAATTAACATTGGAAGAGAAAAGCCCTATTAAATGTCATATGTTTTTTTAACTTGAATGCTACCATGTTAAAAAAATAATAGTCCCTGATATGAATCATCAGCAGAAAGACACAACCACTGCAGAAAACTTTAATAAGTTGTTCTGCCTTTTACAATGAAGCTAAAAGACAATATTATATCCTGTGAAATCAATCATTCTTAATCTCTGCATCTCTGAAACTGTTACTTTGAGGCCAAAACCCAATCTGCTGCTTCCTTTGTTTAATGCACAAAATGCAGCCACAGGTTTAGGCAGTGACTCAGCTTTAAACACTGTCCTGTCATTCCCAGTTAGTCCCTTCCAGTAGCAAGGAAGCTGGGTGAACAGCTGGTTTCCCATCACCAGAGGCCTCCAGTACAGGGTGTTAGCAGCCAGATGCAGAGCAAAGTTACCAGAGCCGTGGCTCCTGTGAGGACAACTTTGTTGTCAACAGGAGAGGCACAGCTGAGACAGAGATGAAATGCAAGATCCAGGCAGATGTCAGGAAGCACCTGGGAGGGTGGCTGTCAGGAAGGACTTGCCAGCAGCACTCAGCAGACTGCAACACTCAGCTGCCACAAGAAACCGTGGCACTGGCTGTGCTGGAAATGACAGGGGAGGTGGCACCTTCGGAGGAGTCAGCTGGGGGAGAGAGGAAGAGGCCTTGCTCCGTTTTCCTTCCATTTCTATATAAAATCTTGCTTTCACCTTTGGGGAAGTCTCCCAATAGAGCCATCATTCTCCAACCCCCATGGACCCATGGCCATGCAAGGGATCAAGAGGATGCTTGGCCCAAGTGGTTGGGGCAGGGAAGGGGATGAAATGAGGTGGCTGTGGGATATCAGGGGCACGGTTTACCCAATGTGCAAGCTGAAACCATGACTAATTGATACAATCTAATATAGCAGCTTTTCACTGGAGAAACTGCTGAGAAGGTTATTTAACCTGTTTCATTAGGAAGCCTTACTGTTAAAGATGATGCTCTGCCAGGCTGTGCCTTGGCAGGCAGCTCCTCAGCCCAAGAGGGCCTTTCATCTTGGGTTTCACCTTCACACCATCCACACACTCCAGATGTAGTTCAACATCCTCTATAAACACCTTGCTCATCTTGGATGCATCCCTTTCCTGAAGATCCCGGCTGATCTTCATCTCTTCCCTGTTGCTCTACTCTCTCCCACAGCACCCAGGGCCACAGTAGAGCAGGATGTCCCTGGAGAGACTCCCCCACTGGTGCCCTCCCTGCACAGCACATGGACCATGACGTTGGCAGGATCACTTTAAGGGACAGGTTATCCTTGGGTCCCTCTTGGCTGCTGGCAGTTGAATTACAGCATTTCTGCTCTTCTACCTCTCCCTCACCTCTTGTTGCTGTGTTGTTCACACTCATCCTCACCCATTGCTGGGAGATTCTTCCATTCTCTCTGCTCCCCTGATGGTTTCTTTGCCTCTTTAAATGTGTCTCTATTTTATTTTTTTAATTATTTTTATTTATTTTTTATTTTATTTGCCAATGTGTACAGACATTGCACGTGGGCAAGGGATGGTTTGATTCCCCAGGGCCTTGCTGCAGCCACACTGGGGAGCTTCTCTCCCAGCCAGGGCAGCATGCTGGGAGCAAGGGGAGCCAGGGTCTACTCCTTCCACTCTCATCTCTCCACAGGAGAAAAATCCCTTTTCAGCTGCACAGACTCAAGGCTGCTGTTTGATATCAGGCTCTGGCCCCTGGCCAGGAGGGGTGGGTTTACCTCTTTGGTATGGCTGTGTAGCCTGGGGGGTTGGAGGGTTTGCTGTGAGAAGAACCTCCCTATTTCACCATGTCCCTGCACTGCTGTTGCACCATAACAATTCTTGAGGGGTGGGCTGGGGTCTGTAGCAGGGGGGAAACCTGCATGGTGACTTTCCCCATGATGCAGAGCATCCTCCGTAGTGATTTTCCCCATGGTGGCAGGGCAGTAATTTTTTGGGTTAGTACCCACCAAAGCAGTTATTTTGGCAGCTGAAGCCTCCTGCTGTCTCTCTGGCAAAGGGTAGGGCAGGCACCAAACCTACTCTCTGCCTTCTCACCGTTAAAAGTAGCCATGCATAATTTATTCTGCCCAGCTGCTGTTGCGGTACAGCTCTAATGCACAGGATTGGGTTACCAGCAGAGCTGGCAGGGGCAGGGACAGCCTGTTAGGAGCTGACTGTAGGTTCCTGAGCTCCTGAAGGTTAGAAAAGGGCAGGTCTGTACCGTCCCCATCCCTCCCTGCTGCTCACAACCGTTGCCATGTGGTCTGCAGCTCACAGCCTTTCCTGATGGGATAATCCATGGCTAAACCCTGTGAGTACCAGATGGAGTTCAGGCCTGTTCGTTCTCTGTGTTAATAACCCAGAATGTCATTAATTTCTTTCTTATGCACTGTGGCAGTTTTAGTTGTTGGTTTGGGCTTTTTTTAATGTAGTCAGATGGTGATGTGAACATGCTTTTCTGAGATCCCTAGGGAGTCAGCCCAGTGCATATTTGATCATTGTCAACTTGCAAGACAGCTCTCCGAGTCCAAGATTGGAGAGCAGAGTTACTGTCTGAGCCAGCACGATGAACAAAAGTTATTTTTCAGATGGGAAGCCTGCAGCCCTCAGCTCTGCTTTGCAAATGTGAAACCTTGTAAAAGCCATTCCTTCCAGATGCTCACTGCTGAAACCCTGCTGCTATAAGCACCTGCTCAAAATTAAAGCAAATCCTTTGCTTAAGCTTGAATTTAAGCACGTGCTTATATGCTTTGCTGACCTGAGGCCCACCACTGCCCCAGACCTCCAAAGCTAATGGGAGGAAGCAGCAGTGAGTGCATGCTGGTAGATGGGAAGGAAAGAGGCAGCTCTCTCCCCAGTTCAAAGGGATGAGGTGTGGGATAGTGCAGGGAGGGAAGATCAGCTCTTTTATTCTTCTTCTGACTGTGAATGTTCCTGTGGTTGGCATGAGACTCTGGGCCATTAGAATCATACAATATCCTCAGTTGGAAGGGACTCACAAGGATCATTGAGCCAAACTGCTGCCCCTGTACATGACAGCCCCAAGAATTGCACCATGAGAGAGTTTAGTTTGTGTTTAATGATGTTGCTGTCTAACCACCCAAGTCTTGGCAGCCCTCTCCATCCCTCCTGATCTGCTTGTACATATACCCAGCACCTCCCAGGGTTGAGAAGTGACTACAACAACCTGGTACAGTGCCAAGGCCTGTGGCTCTGTTGAGCTGAGGACTAGGCTGGACCTGCTGGAGCATCTCAGGACCTCCTCACACAGTGCAGGATCTGACCTGCAGGCTGCATGCAGCTGGTTCCCAGCTTTTCCAGCAAATTCTGGATATTGGTGTTAGAGAAATCTGCCATCCTGCAACACTTTGGAGACGTGTTTATGCTTCGTGTGGTTTTATCAGCAGTGGCTGTTTTCTTGTGTTTGTTTTTGCTGTGGGGTTTTTCATTTTGAAGGAGGGTTTTGAGGCTTTGACTCGGGCAGTGTCTGCACCTCAGCCAGAGAGATGGGCACCCACTGCCAAGCCCTGCAGGTGTTGGGGACAGTTGGGACACCCAGTGAGCACTGCCTGGTCCCTGCACAGCCCTGGTGAGGGAACTGCCATGCAGCAACCTGAAATTTCATTAGAAAAATCATATTCTCTAGCTGAGGACTTGTGCTCTCGGTGCTGCCATTTTTGATTCCTGCCAGGAGCAGATGCTTTTAGGGAGCTGCTCTGCAAAGACCCTTCCCACTCCACTCCTCACATGATGGGAGGTCCAGCTTGCACTGAGGACTTGATTTTTTGCTTTGAAATGCCCCAAAAGCTGGGCTAGAGGCTGTGTTTAGCTCTGTGTGGTTCAGCCATCACTCCTTCATCCCCCCAGCCCCATGTCCCCAGCTGTATAACAGGGCTGGAGGTTGGGAGAGGAGCAGAACCAGACTTATCTGTGCTGCCTGGCAGTTCCCAGGCCAGATGGGCCTGAGTGCCTTGGCCGCATGCTGCCAGTGAAGGGTGGTCTTGATGGTCTGAGTTCTGGGCCAGCCCTGCTGGCTGCAGCCCAGAGCTGTTCCTCTCCTACTGTCACCCTGCTCTGTGCCAGGGTGACTGGAGTGTTGTGCCCAAGGAGGGTGTCACTGAGAACAGGCTCCCCTGTGTCTTGCGACCTCCAGAAAAATAGTGTTACTTTTCTCAGCAGAGCCAAGAAGCCTCCAGCTGGGCAGAAACAGCTACACCACAGCTTTTGTGGCTTTGATGTCCAGCCCAGAGAGGCATAAGGAGTTTGCAGGCAAGTTCAGAGCTTGTCTGGCTACTCCATGAGCTGCAAAGCTCAATTTTGTCCACTGAGATCTAGAAAGCGGGAAGAAACCAATCCCTTTCCTTGTCACCATTAATTTGAAGTGTTGGAGATGAATAATTAATTATTTGCATTAGATACTCAAAAAATACTTGATAAATCAGGCAGCTGTGCCTCAGCTCTCTCCTCAGCAGAGGCTGTCTTCATTGCTGGCTGCAGGAGGGATGCCACAGCCCTGCAGGAGTGGGGGAACCCATAGGAAGAGGATCTGTACCTCCTGCAGACCTTTAATTTGACAGCCTGGGCAGGGGGAGCTGCAAAATCAGGCTCCCCTGTCCCCAGAACCAGTTTTTGCCTTGACTCACTGCCCCTCTGGGGTAAAACACCCCTGGTGCAAAAGCAGGGTGGTGGCAGCCAGAAGAGGCAGTGGGCCAGGGTGAGTCAGAGCCGTCCCTCAGCCGGGGCCATCCATTCCCGTTGCAGGTTCCGTGGAGAGCCTGTCCCACACCACCTCATCCCCGCAGCCGTCACCGGCCGCCTCCACCCACGCCTCCCGCATCGCCGACCCCTCCTTCTCCGTCGACGCCGCTGCTGCCGACGCCTCTGCCACGGAGGAGACTCCCAGTGAGTCAGGGTCAGTCTTCCTCCCCGACTACCTCTTCCTCTCCAACTGCGAGTCGGGCAAGCTCAGCCACAACAGGTAAGTCTGGGTCTGCTGGATGCGTCAGGCTGGAGCCACCCTCAGCCTGCCCAGTGATGAAACTGGGGCACAGTGGCCCTGGAGCCCTGCCACTCAGGGTAGGCTCCCGGGCACAGCAGGGGTCCACCAGCCTAATCCAATTTGGAGGGTGCTTTTCATAGCGCAGATTAGCAGTCGAGCGTCATATGTTGGTCCTGTCCCTGTCCAGGGTGGGTGGCTGGGGACCTCACACACAGCCTCCTTCCAGACACCTGCTGCTGCCCAAGATGCTCCACAAAGTGTCCCATCCCCCTGTCCAGCTCAGGGGGGACCCTCCACAGTCACAGGGAAGGGACAGATTTTGTCCTGAACTGTGGGGTTGGGTTTTTTGTTTGCTGTGTTCTTGCAACCAGGAGAAAAGGAAAGCTCAGTTCCTGACCTCTGTCTCTTGCAGGTGTGACAGCTGGTCAAATTCAGACAGATCTCTGGAGCAAACTTCATCGGACGATGTTTTTGTTGACTCCTTGCAATCCCAGCCCTCCTTGTACCTTGTACAGCCAACCAGTGCTGGCACTGTGCACCAGGACGGGGCCCCACTGGCAAATCCCAGCACCGTGTCCAGGAACATAGACATTAGTGGGCCATCCAGTGACTTTTCCTCCTCTTCTCCCCTGCTGGGGACGCCGCTGACACCAACCTTTCAGATTGACAAGAGCCAAAATGCGCTGCCCTACGGTGTAACCCAGCTGGACATCCTGTCCAACACGCCTCCACCACGGCCCCCCAAACCAACCCACTTCTCAGACAGGAGAGGGGAGGACGTGGGCGGTGGGGCCCTCCAGAACGGGCACGCAGGGATCTGCAGGGCTCAGGTAGCTCTGGTGCCCAGGAGGATCTCCCTGTCCAGCTTAGACAACATGAGGAACTGGAAAGGTGAGTGCACTGCTGAGAGCTGGCAAAGCAGGACCAATGTGAGGGATAGAGCACGGAGCGGGTGCAGACTTCCAGTTGTGCCTTTCTGTCCTCCCCTCTATGGAATCATACACCACCCAAAGCAACACAAAATCCTTCTTTCAAATGAATTAGCAAGCAAGATTCAGGCCTGTCCCTCATGTTCAGCTACTGCTCTGTAGAAGCCCCTCACAGTGTGTCCAAATGGGCAGCAATTTTGCTTTCATCCCTTCAGGGTGCCTCATGACTTGCTAGTTTTCCATGCCCCCTCCCTCTCCAAAAGGGAAAGTAGTAAAAACCACCAAAATGAAAAGTCAGCCACTGAATCAGGCAATGCCAAAATCTCTGTTTATGCAGGTCAAAGTGTGGGCTTGCACATGGGAAATTCCTTCGGAGCTGTGCTGCTTCGCTATGTCCAGCCCATTCCACAAGAGCAGCATGTCTTTTTGCAGCTTAGAGTAAAGACCAGGAAGTCAGGGAGACGCTGGGGATGGGATGTAATCCCGATTGAACCAGGGACTCTGTGTGTCCTTGAACAAATCCCACTCTGTCCTTGCACTTCAGGCAGAGTAGTCTGAAAACCTGCTGCCGTAGGGTGATGCTCAGCTGCAAAGCAGACTCTACTCTGAGCTGAGCTGGCTTTTCCACTTGTTCCTGAAACACCATAATCACAAACAAAAATAAGTCAAAAACCCGGAGCACCATGGTGTCAGAAACCAGTAAAGGCAGAGCCTTTACTCATGTAGAGCCACAGAACAGAGAAAGGCAGCTGGGATACCCAGCTGGAAATCATCAAGTATACTGCAGAGATATGAAAACCTTCAGTTTTGATGAGGAAAAAAACATAGGTTTTTAAGGAGAAGCATCCTTTAGGCTCCTGCAGTTTATATTTGGGGCTGCAGACAATATTTGGGGCTGTTAGATCTTGCTCTTAAAGCTCAGAAGCTAAAGCAAGGAGATCTCTGTCCAGCCTGTTTATCAGTGTACAAACAATTCTTGGAAGGTTTCTGGAGAAACACCCATCAGTGGAATTGCTATTCTTGATTATCAGCTACATTTTGTTGCTCCCTGAAAGGTGCTGCTCTTGCTTCTGCACATGTTCCAACATCACGGGTGCACTTGGGCCATTCATGTTCCTCCAACCCAATTTACACCGAAATGTTTTAAGAGGATTAAGTGGCCAAATGTCATGTTGTGCTGCAGTGCTGCAGGGTTATCTCTGCCTGACGGGGGCAGTAATGAATTAACAAGTGCTGCCACTTTTTCTTGCCCTAAGTGAAGCTGAAACTATTTGAAAGGTTAAACTCTGAATTAAAATGTGTTTAACAAGAAAGATCAGAAAAGGAAACAAGGAGAAAGCAGTTCTTCCTCACCAGCTCCCACAGTGAGCCCACTTGATTCATTTCCTTCACTTTTTGCCCTTGGCAACCTGCAAAAGATGCACAGATGTAATTAACCCTGTAATTAACCCTGTAAAGGCAGCATGTGCTGGTGGAAGTGCCATGAAGGGGGATGAGCTGTACACATGTAAGGCACCTGTATCCTGGCATCTGATGGAGCCTTGTGCCAAAATAATAAATAAATGTAACTGTCCTAGGACAGTGACCGTGTCCGTCTTAATATATATCTGCGCTAATAGAATTGCTTTGTTCTTGTTTGGTCTTTTTCGCTGGAACCACCACAAATGCCTCCAGTTGCAGTGCAGTACTGACACCTCCATCATAAGAGCAGAGAGTGGATTAGCATGGTTTCAGGGTTTTAAGGCATTCCCACAGAAAAGCCATTTTCTGCACAGAAAATCCTTTTCCAGAAAAATTTGGTGTTTGTAAGCATCTCCCACTGCTGATCTTCTATGCACTGAGTGGTGGATTTTAGGGCTGTTGGGTTTTGCTTGAAAAATAAAATGGACCTGCACCAAGACAAAGGCCCACCTGCAAAACAGGACACTGAGATTGGTAACTGTTTCTCTGGCTGTTTGTTCCCCATCAGCTTGAGCCACTTGCACCATATCAGCACTTCTGGATGACAAAGCAAAGAATTTTTCTCCTACTATTAAGTTTCCCCATGGCACCACTCTCTGTACAATAACACTTCCATGACACCTTACATACCAGGCTCCTAAATAACTTTCCAAGCAACAGTGAAATAATATTCCCTACAGTCCCTTTTCATGTAATTTCCCCACTTTGATAGAGACTGACTAGAGCTCTCTGGGTTTAAACTTTTGCTTCCTTGCTCCCACACCAGCCATTCTCCCCAACTGCTTGTGTTACAGGAAGCATAAGTTACAGCTGGATTATACATGAACATGTTCCTTGGTTTCATCATACTTAAAATGGATGTAATCACTCTTGAAATGCTACTGAGTTGGATCTGGTCTAAAGTGTCATTGGATTTCCTCATTTAGGAGTTTTACTCCAGAATTATCTCTGTAAGGTTGCACTGCCTTATCACATTTTTAATCACTTCTCTTTTCCTTGCAGCAGACATGGAAGGCAGTTCCTTAAGAAGTCGAGATAAGAGGCTTAGCTTGAATTTGGTAAGTACTCTGCTTGCACAAATTTAAAACACTGGCACATGGCAAACTTCAGAGAGTGAATCATTTCACATCCTGATATTCAGTCATTCCCCTCCTGTGTTCAGCAGAAGAATTAAAAAAATGGAAGAAACACTTGGCTTTGGGCAACTTCTCTGCTGCTGCTTTGTGGCCTCAGGAGGCTTTTGAGGGAGGAGGGAGGGGCAAGCCACAAAACTAAGCACCCTGTTTTTAAGGCAGATGAAGCTGGGTCTGTTATGAAAAAGGTTACAGGAGCCTCAAGAATTAAACTGTTGACCAAGGGCACCAGAGAAAATGGCTTATCTCTTGAAAAAAGGGGTCTAAAGAAGTCTATCACTTCATGATCCTGAGGGATATCTCTTCTTTAGGACATGGGAAAGTGCCTGCTCTCAAAGCATCTGTGATTGAGGGCTCTGTCAGTCCAAAGCTTCCTGTCTCAGCCTTTGACAGACACAGTTCTATGTAGCACCATCTCACATCACACAGTCAGTGTGCTGGATACTGTCTTCTGTGGGAGAACCTTTGCTGTGTGAATGTAAGCTCTGGTGTTGGGCAACTTATATTTTTCCCCCACTTGAAAGCTTGCAAGGTTTGTAATCTCTCCGTCTGGCCACTCATCCAGCACCAGCCTGCATGAAATTATTTTCTGGTGCTTATTCTCAGCGATCAGAAACAACTTGTAAGTCTGTGTCTGCTCTCTCAGCTTCCACATCCACAAAAATCTAGTTCATCAGATGTTCTCCTTTCAGATTTTTTTTTTGTATGAAGGAGCCTCCCTCATTTTATAGGTCAGAATTACTGCTGGGAGGGGCAAGTGCAACCTCACTGAAGTTGGAGGATTTAACCTACTAAAGTCACGGATAAGTTTGGCTCTAGTTTCCAGCAGTGGCTTGCAAAGCTCAGAAGTGGACTTCTCCAAAGCTGGGCTGTGCATCTGAACTCATGTGTTTGTCTCCTGTCTTTCCATCTTGCGCCTCTCTGAAAGGTCTCGTCAGAGCTCTCCTGGACTGGGCTTGGCTCAGATCCATTCCCAGCTCAAAGCACCTCCCGGCTTGCAGGGGGTTAGCTGTGCATTTATTGACCCATTTCTCTTTCTTTTCCTCCTTTGCTTCCGAAGCCCTGCCGGTTCTCCCCACTCTACTCGACGGCCTCGGACGGTGCAGAGGACAGCTACGTGCCCATGCGCCCCAGCACCTCTCCCTCCGCGCCCGGCTCCGACTGTTCCCCTGATGGCTACATCCCCATGAGCCCCGGCTCGGCCACCTTTACCTTCCCTGTCGTCAGCACTGAAAAACTCACCAGCCCGTTACCTGAGCTGCCCTCGGACGTGGAGCCCCCTCCAGTGAACCGAGACCTCAAGCCTCGTAGGAAACGTAAGCATAGACCCAAGTGCAAATGGCAGCCAGGGCGTCCTGATGGCAGGGACACGGGTGGCCTCCTTTGATAGTGTCCTTGGCATGCTTTGAAGTGGTTCCCACTCTAGAAGATGCGCTGAAATGCTGTGTAAGTGACTCACAGTACTGTAACCAGGGATGTGCCTGCAGGGTGGTTTGTGAGCAGAAGAAGAGCATCCATGGCTACTTTCACAGTCAAAGCCCAGGTGGCTGCACAGTCCAGCTTCAGATCCACTCCAGCTGCAAACAGCCAGAATGACATAGCCTTCGAGAGACAGCAGACTAAATCTGCTGCTCTGAAGTACATGTACTGCTGTCTCACCAGTTCCCTGACCTTCCAGGAATGGGGCATCCAAACACTCAAATACTCAAACTTGATGTGTGGGCTGTTGGTTAAATCTCTGTTGGGTAGGCACAGCTGTTTGGTTTAATTAGGAATTTCCTGCAGATGCTTTTGCTGATGGTAATTTTCCACTCCTGGTTTTCATGGCATCTCCAAAATCTGGGTTGCACTTCTAGAGAATATACTGGGGACAAAGTTCAGGTTTGCAGTGGAGAAATTGCCTAAACCTGGCCTTCAGTAAAGCTCTTTGGGTTGCAGAGCCACAGGGTTACTCAGAAATTGGTATAGAAAATGTTACTGTTAAGTGGGGGCAGAAATTTAGACCATTGCCATGAAGTGAAGCAAGTTCATGTCCTTTTTGAAAGGGTTTTGAGAATGGAGGGCATGCGTACATTGATTGGGGACAGGAATGATCTTGGATCCCAATGTGTGAAGTCTTTTTGTTTACAACACAGCCCAAAACCTGTTATGACCCGTAGGGTGAACCAGCCTCTCAACGGCAGTGTATGCAGAGCAGATTTGGGGCAAACTCAGAGATCTCATGGGGCATTTGCTCTCCTTATGCCCATTGTATTTACTCTGTTATTGACATGTTAATGAGGTGATTGAGGGACTTTGCTTTCCAGCAATGACCGAAGCAGTCATTTGTTACCGATTGCTGTCTTGGTTATGTTCTGTGAAATACTCTGTTAGTTTCTTTCTGTTAATATAAAACTGCATTTTTCTAAACAGTCTATACTTTCCATTAGCTCTGCTATTGGAAATGTAATTGGATTTGTATCTCCTTACAGCACGGCCACCTCCTCTGGACTTGAGGAACCTCTCCACAATCCGGGAGCATGCTGCCGTGACCAGGATGTGGACTGTGCCTTAGTAAGTCAACAAGAAACCTGCCATTCCAATCTTTTCAGCATTAGCATTGTGGATTAGAGTTAAAAATAACTTATCACATCCCACAAGAAACAGTTTCCTGGCAAAGTCCACAAACAAAAATTCCCCAGGGTTCCTTCCAGCATCCCCCAGGCTTTTGCTGTCTCTAAAAAGCAAGGCTTCCTTTCACGATGGGCAGCTCCAGTGCACTCAGCCTCATGCAGTGATGCTCAGTCTGTTTTGAAGGTTCCTTTTAAGCAGCCTGGAGCGGGTCTGCACTCTGGTGTGGCTGCTATGCTGGATAAAAGCTATGGATGCCTAAACTTTTTTTTTCTAAGTGAAAGAGCCAATTTTGTTCCTGAAAATTAATATAGCAAGGGAGAACCAGATGAGATAAAGATCTGCCTGACTTGGAGCCTGAGCATAAATTCTGCACTGCCACACAGCAATTCAGACTTGAACTGTTGGTGTGGCCTTTTGTCACTGGAAATTAGCTGTTAGTAAAACAAATGCTTTTGATTTCAAAGCCCAGGTAGTATGAACAGATGATACTGTTGGGCTCCAAGGACAGCAGAAGACTCATTTTCAGGGAATTCATGAGCAGGGGAGGACTGCAGCCTGCTGGCTGGGGGGATCTTGGCACTAAGGGGAAAGCAGCTGTGCTGGAGTGTGTATGCAATTGCCAGGAATTCCCACCAACCTTCTCTGCACACCCCAGGCACTCCAGGAAATGTGGGGTTTTGCTAACGTGGGTGCCAGGCAGGGCATTTCCACTCACTTCAGGTTGTCATGTGAAGGGCAAAAGAGACATAAGATGGACAGTTTCTCAGTTTCAGACCCCTCTGTCAGCCCATTGAGTCCAAAGCTGGTTAAGCCCTTTGGCACTGCCTCCCAGGGAAAGCCAATAGCCTGCCTCCCAAGCATCCCTGCCAGAGCACTGGGGTTAATCAGTGCTGACACAGTGCAGAGTCCTGGAGGATAACGAGCTCAGGGGGAGTGTGCATGTTCTACACTAACAAAGCTAAAAAAGAAGCATGCCTGGAACTAATGAAGCAAAAGGAATTATGCTGTTCATGCTGCTCAAAGTGGCCACCTAATTTCCTACTGACTGACCCCACTGCACTCGCCTGCAGTCAGTTACTCACCGCATACCTCTGACAGTCATGGAAGTGGAAGTGATTCTGCAGTAGTGGAAGAGATTTCTTGTGCAAGAGATGAGTCACAGCCATCTCCATAGCAGAGATAGCATGTGTTGCCACTGTGTGCAAAGCCAGACAAGTTCCTCTGCATGGACCTCCAGCAGCTGATTAATTCACATCAATCTCCAAAATGTGGATACCCTCACAGCTAAGTAACTGCCCTCATTATTACCTAAATGAATGATAGCTGTCTCTGTGCCCCTTGCTCAAACAATTGCTTCAATGTTTTATGCTTTCTGTCATACCAGAAAGCAAATTTTCATAAATCCCAGAAGAAAAGAAAATCAATAAAACCGCTCATAGCAATATAGCACACTATTTCTAGAACTAAGGAGTGGTTTTGGACATTCTCTCCATAAAGGCTGCAGCGTTAGTGTGAGTTTATTCACCATATGGACTGTGTCAGGCTTTGGCTTCATTTCAGAGCATCTGTAAGATGCTTCCTTAACCTCTCCTGTGTTTTTCTTCATAGCAATCGAATGAGCTTTATCTCACCAGAAAGAGACGGTATTAATTCAGCAAGAATATTTGCCAATTCAGTTTCCGGAGAAGAGGAAGAAAGTTACATTCATATGGTAATCTTCATTTTCACACAGCCATCCTTTGCTTTATTCTGCTCTGTCACATTGATGGAGAATGCAGAAGTTTGTTTTCTAAGAAAAAACGTTGAGGAGGTTTGTCCTTTGCCTTCTGGGTTTTTTTTTAAATGATGAAACGGTTTTAAACCATAGACACTGGGACCAATTTACGGAGAGATAAGGGAAGCCCTTTTCCTGCTCTGCAGAACTCAGCTGTTCGCCCACGAATGTTGCTGAGCAGTTCCAAGAGATCACAGGGATCAGCCATATTTACATGAGAACTCATTAAGGCAAAGGGAAATTAAATCTTTTCACCTTCTAAAAATGTGCCCTGCAAAATCTCCCAGGAAATGACAGAAAGCCGTTAGCGCACTTCCTAAAGAAACACACCAAATATTGTGCAGAAACAGAACTCCCATTAAAGTCTCTTATTGCTTCTGCTTTGGCTGGTGGCACTAACCCCACTTCCCATCCCATGAAAGAAGAACATCTGGCTTCGTGGTCTCCTTTTCTTCATTTACTCTTTAGCCATATCTTGCAAAAGTCTAGAATCTTGGTTTCCTTTGAATTTTAGCTGCAAATGGATCTCAAATCCCTCGATCTGAGCCAATGTCTACAAATCTGGCTCCATAGCCAAAGCTCAAGAGTAATGTCTATAAAAATATATTGCAAAACTGACCACAGCCTCCATGAAATACAGTCTAAAATTTTAACCCATATCTCTACCAGATCAAAATGTGCTCAGGAGGGCAGTTCTAGTTGTAACCACTCCCCATTTGATTTCTCTGGTCAAATAAACCCTTCCATGCATTTGTGGTCACCTGTGATTTTCGTGAGATTAATTTTCAGTTGCTAGATTTGAACAGAATTTTCACAATTTCTTCAAATTCATTGAATGATGATGTTTAAGAGGGCACCCCTGCAACTTTGAGCCTTCTAGGGGCTTGGGTTGAGAAGCTGAGCACAAGTCCTTCCTGATAAAATTGCATGCAAATCAGTCTGGTTTGGTTTTTTTGCCATAATTACCACGAGGAAAAGGCTCTCACAATTTCTTTTTGTCATCCCACAACTATCAGTGTTATGCTGTGGTTAATAACCAAATGCACCCTTGGCATAGAAAATTAGGTGGCTCCTGACTGTCCTCACTCGCATTCTACCAGGCAAATCTCACAGTTGTGGTCCTGCTTCCTTTTAGGATCATGTTTTAAGAGCATTAAAAGTTTCTCTTCTTTCCTGACAGGAACACAGACAGGCAACATCTCCATACAGTGGTGCTTTCCCATGGACAAGGAAATCTAACCTTGATTACTTAGCACTGGATTTTAATTCTGCTTCCCCATCCCCTGTGCAGAAGGTACGAGTCATCCGAAAAAATCCCACAGCCTCCTGTCCATTTGCCTCCTGGGAGGAAATCAAGACCCAGGGTCACATTCTGCTAGGTGCCCCAAGTGTCACGATGAAGGCAGTCGTGTTTCCAGCTGACTGCATTTGTGGCAGGCTCAAGATTAATATAATAAGAGCACGATTATGGTGATGACAAGGTGTCCTTAGTATGACTCATAGGGATGCTGTTAACATGAGCTCAGCACAGTGCGTGAGACAGCGCTGGGACATGCAGCCATGAGGGCTTGTGGGCAAGCTGGTTGATGCCTGCAGGATCTCTGCATGCTCTTTCATTTTCATCAAGTCTCCACAAAGCCTTTCCTGCTAGTTTTCCCCCAAATCTCTTTGCAGTAACAAATTCACGTGATAAATGTGATAAATTCATGGGGTAGAACTGTACCATCTCTTGTAACATGGCAAAATGTGCATCTTTATCCTTGCATCACCAAAACCATTTCAGTTTCCTTTGCTGAGAAAATACATTCTTTGTTCCAAAGAGCTTCTAACCTGCCCAGGTGGTGGGTAGGTACCACTGCAAAGAAATTAATTGTTATCAGTTTGGGTCACCTTATGTCCTGTGTATCATTTTCCCCATCAGCCAATACTCCTAGATGCAAAAGACTCTTAAGCTTTCTTATTTAAACCCTCCTTGTAGCTAAAATGCAGTTAGTTTATCCCTGCAGCAGGATCACTCAGATGAGGAGAGAATGATTATCTGCATGGAAGTAGCCAGCACAGCACGTTTCCCTCGCTCACTGTGCTGGGCTGAGTGACAGAGTAACAGATGGATAATTATAGCTAAAGCAGGCTGTAAAGCAATGCTTTTGTCAGCTGATGTCACTGTGAGCTTCAAGGTGAAGTGAAGCAATCAAGGAACGAGAGAAAGAGAAAACAGAAAATCAAGACAAGTTTCACTAGCATTCCTTTTCAACCTGGAAATTAATATATTGTTTTTTTCTTCTCTGTCCCGCAGAAACCTTTTCTGTCTGAGGAACAGAGGGTGGACTATGTCCAGGTAGATGAACAGAAAACTCAAGCTTTACAGAACACTAAGCAGGAATGGACAGATGAAAGACAATCAAAAGTCTAAAGGAAGAAGATATGGGATCTGGAAGATTTATTTTTTTTTGCACTGGAACCACAATGTTAATGAAGCAGCTATCACAGTAGAGTTCAAAGGCAGAGAGAGTTGTAAGATACTTACAATCTGTAGAGGCATTTTTACTGGAAACCTTTGATTTCAGCTGGAAATAGTATGTTGAGTGAGTGAGTGGTTCACTGATGATTAAAGTAATGCATTACCCTTTCTACTGCCCTTACCACTAAGCTACATGGTACCATTTTCTGGCATGATTCTGCGACGAGTCATACACTTAACATTAACAAATCCACTACAAGTTGCATTAATCTAGTTCGTCCTGCCTTCTCCCTCAGTTGCATAATTCCTAGTTGCTAAAGCTATTTTTTAATATTCCTACAAATACTGCAGGTGCTTGGAGTGCTTTTATGGCAGCGGGCATCTGACAGGTATTGGTGACTAATCAACTAAGGGCTAAAATACTGAAACAATAAAAAGAACTTTTTGAATACATAGAGCTTAAGCAAAGAGAATTTTGAAAAATATTTTTTCCCCTGGGTTTAAAAGGTCTGACTGTGAGCTGATGCTGTCAGAACTCAAAACAGGACTACGTGCCCATGCAACCGGAACGCATGGTCTTTGACCCTCTGGACGACGGTCATTGTATTAAGCTTCTCCTCTCCTTTGTGGCTCATACTTGTCGCCTTTCTGTCTGATTCCTACTGATGTTTTCCCCCCTATCTTGAGAAGTGTCTTCAGCACGGCACAGCACAGCTGCTCTTCTAGCAGGAGGCTGCAGCCACACAGCCCTTGGCTGGCCAAAAAATAGAAAGGGAAGCTGTGAGCCTGTTTCTGCAAGTCTTGAGAGAACTGGCAAAGGATCAAGAATGCTTTCATCTGAACGGCAGAAGAAATGCCATTGGAGTTGCTGGTAGCAGTCGTCAATCTGATTGTTTCGCTAGACCCACCCCAGAAAAAAAAAGAGCGTTAGGAAGTGCAGCCGCTCCGAGAGAGGCCAAACAGAGCCTGCCAAAACAGAACAACAATGCGCTCACGCGGCGTGAGGACCTCTGGGTTCAGGAAGCTTATCTACCTTGGGACTTGTCACAGGCACTATCTCAGGATCACATATGTGTATAGTTTATAAGATATTTAACTTTAAACGCTTGGCTGCAGTCTTTATTTTAAAGTGGCACACAGCCACCTGACTCATGGAAGTAGGCAGTGACGCTGTGACCCACTCTGGATTTGGTCTCGCAGGCTTTGCTCCTGTAGGTAAGTCCCAGTAGCCATAAGAGGTCTGATCCTGTTGACATGGACAGACAGGACCCTTACGAAAGATTTCTTCTCTGACAGTGCCAAGTCACTGCCCTCCCTTTGTGTGCCTGTTGTTACCACATTGCATTACTGTAACCTGACATCCCAAAAATGCTGATTTACCAAACAGAGGTTGTAGAAATGTCATTGCAGAAACCACTGGCATTTCAAGGCTCCGACTCAACTTCCTCCTCTGCACTCATTCTGCTCCAACCATTTGGGCACTCTGGGAGGCTGAGAGATGTGGCCCAGTCTCACGTCCTGTGGGAGAGGCAGCATAGCCAACAGAAACACAGTTTTCCTCCTACCTCAAGAGAGCTGAAGGGCTTGCAAGTCTTACTGCTTCTTTAGCCCAAACCCTGGGGATCTGTGGTGACCAGGCTCTCATTAGCTTGCCCTGCAAGAAAAAGGTTCACCAGCGCCTTTATTGACTCTGGGGCAAACTGGGCACCCAGGCCTGCAGGCACCAAGTGTCCCAGACCAGAGCTGCTTGGAAAACAGGGGTTAATCCTACAGATGGCTGACCTGCTGTTCCCCCATACTCTGCTCCTCCTCGCCCCCTCACCGAAGCTCTAAAGTGAAAGTTGATGTTCACAAAAATTTTGAAAATAATTCCAACTTTTCTGTATACATCTTGTCTGTCTGGTGTGAAATTTAGTTTGTTAAAACCCAGGGGTTTGTCCTCAAACTGATTTAGCAGAGCTGTGAGCAACTGTGCCCTGGGAGTGGTATTGCAACAAGGGCAGTGGAGATCTGCACCTCCACAGAGGTGTCAGAGAGAGGGAAGCATAGAAGGGCCACAGATACTGAGACCTTTGACTTTCTGCTCAAAAGAATTACCTTTCTTTCAGGGTGTACAAATAACGCATCACTGAAAGCTCTTGGTGTACGATGACGTACTGAAGGGGTTAAAAGATCAGTGTCTTACGTTAGGGACAGAAAATCTCCACAGAGGGCAGGTAAAGTTGTGTCCTGCTACTGCAGATCCTGGATTGTGGAGTGATGTCAGGGCGGCCTCCGATGCGGATCAGCACTGCATACAGATCAGATCGTGTTTGACTGGAGTGTTTCTTTTCATGCTGTCAGAAAATTTTCTGAAGAGGAAAAACACTGAGTTAGTGGAGACAACTGACTCACTTGTTATTCTAGTTTATTGTAAAAATATTTAAATTTCAACAAACCTGGCTAACAGAAAGAAAAAAGAGCTCTCTTGGTATTTTTGTTCCCCTAAAAGGACATAAGCATATACCTTGGCAAGGACAGTCCTTAGATCAGAATGGCCCCTTTCAACTTCCTGTGTCCCCTGCTTGCCCCCACCGCCCTCTTATCTTGATCAAATGCTGCTCACTGGTTTCTCACTTTCTCTTTTTAACTAGAAGCTAAGTTTGAGGGTTTATTCAAATTGTCATGTAAGGTCTGTTTTTACCCTCTGCTCCAGGATCTGTGACATGCATTCTTGTGCCAGTACAATACATGAAACAGGAGAAATTAAAAATATCCAACAAAAAAAATCCAAAAGCAGAGCAGTCTTCCCCCAAGGCTTTTTTTTTCTATTGTTTTGGTCAAATTCCACAATACTTCAAAGAAGGTAAAGAGGAGGAGGATGGTAGGAAGATGACAAAGGCCAAATCTGCTGAGGCCACCCTATCCCTAAGGATTTGGGTGTGAATGGAGCCACAGCAGCCCTTGCTCTAATACACGATGACAAACCTGTGGGCCAGTACCCACAGAGCCAACCGGTGGGAGAGGAGGGGTGTTACAGAGCAAAAAGGAGCCACTGTTTAGTTAAGTCTGTTCTTAAATCCCAATCCCTTGGCCAAAGAGGAAGGAAAACCTGAAAACTCAGTCAGCTTTTGACACTGTCGTGTCTGAAAGCATAGCCCAGGCCAGAGCCCTCGGTTCGCCACGGCTCTGGGGCCAGCCAGGCACACTCCTGGTGGTGTCTTCTTTTTGCCATGGATCTGTTATTTGTATGTATTTTTTTCAGAAGTGTCACGAGAGCTGATGCAGAGAGAGGCTCTGCACCTAAATGAGCATGGGATGGCCAGTGGTCCCTTAGGAAACTCTTGTCTTCTGGGGGAACTGGCATTGCCCAGCTCAGGACTTGTAGTGCCTTCTCCAGCACTGCTGGGGCTTCTCATTTAAAATGGAGAGAAGCTCTAAACAAGCAGAGTAGTTTTTGTTTAATTGGAAATGTCACCCTGTGGAGTTGCCAGATGAAGCTTGGTTGCAGGATGATGTGGAAAATAACCAAGCTCAAGGCTTTGAGTCCTGTGGTTATTGTGGAGGCCCTCATCTGGTTTCACCCACTGATGGGTTTAATATGGCCTCACTCTGCACTCCTTCAATGACCACACGTTTGAGCAAGGCATAGCAGGATCCACAACTCATTTGCTTTTTGGACTAAACTGCATTTTACATTTATAATTCCTTTATTACAGGAGGCAGCATTAATGTCCTTGCTGACAGATATGAACCTGAGAAATGTCAACAGCCATTTAACTGGAGCCAGGTGTGTTTGGCCAGCTCATTTTTGCCAATGGTAGTGCCTGCTTTTTTCTCTGTCACTAACTACATCATAGATGTAGATTTTGGAGTTGCATTCACTTGAAGTGATTCAGTGGTTTAGTAATTCAAAGACCATCAGATGCTGTGATGCGAACGAAGCACAGGGCAATGCCTCCCCTTTGTCCCCCTGTTCTGCAAAACTTGCTCAGGTTTAAAAAAAAAACAAAAGCCACCAAAATAGCAGACTTTTGCCATGTCAAAGCCAGAAATATTTTTTTTCAAATAAAAATAAACTTTTGTCTTGTGCAAAGGAAGCATTATACATTTTTTTGTATTTGTAAATCTGTGGGGAAGCATTAAACAGTCATCTCTGTTATGAAGGAGTTAGTCATTGCTAGAGGGAAGGGGCTCGCCTTCCTCATGTTTCATTGTAATGTTTGGTGTATATATTTGCACATTAAACTGTATCTTTTTTCTAATAAATTAATATAAAAGGTAGCTGTAATCTTTAATTATTTTGATAAGCAAAGGGGAAAACTTTCACATTTTTCATTTAATGTTTTTTCCATTTTTTAAATCTCTTATTAGGCAGTGACTCATTCATATAAATTATTTGGATGCAAATTCAAACAAATTTGCAAAGAAATGTCATGCGCCTGTGTATCAGGGAGATTATTTGCAGAATAATGAAGAACTATGAAGTTGTGACTTGGACTCATGTCTGCATCCCCCTGGGGCTGGGGTAAGCTGCAGTCCCCCAGCCCCAACTCCTGACAATATCCCTGCCACAGCCACAGCCACTCACTGATCAGTGATGTAGACCACAAGCACAAATTTGTTTAGCACATGCTCTGGGCTTGGATACAAAGACTAGTTGTTATTTAACCTGATCCTTTAATTGCTCTGTGCTGAGGAGTGTAGTTCCTGTTAATATAATTTCCACGTGCAGCAAGCTGGGGATGTGGGATCCTTTCAACGTGCACATCTTGGGATTTGGAAGATGAAATGAGGCCATTCACGGGAGCAGAGCTGAGCAAGTCTTGCTGCTAACAAGACAGGTAGTTTGGAAACAGTTTATTTATTGCTTCAGGCTAATGTCACTTTTGGATCTGCATGCTTTGTAATCCTGGCTGGATACCCATTGTGGTGGATCAAGGGACATGTAGTGCTTAGAGAGCCACTGATGGAAAATTGGCTGCATGACTCAAGACACACAGACACGTGTAATTTAGATAAACCTTTGTCTGTAGGCTTGATAGAAGGGAACTGCGTGACATTTTGTGTTCAGTCTTGTAGGGAGGGCAGGTCAGACAGATAAAAGGTCAGATAAAGTCTGACTGCTGATTCACAGCTGCTTCCATGTCCTCTGCCCAGCAGAGATGGGAATGGCCCTTTCATCAGGGAGCACTTCCCAGAAAAGTGGCCTCCCTCTGCTGCACCAGCTCCCAGAGCCTCTGAGGGAACCAACCATGCCAAAGCCACCATCACCCCTGCCACCATGGAGTGAGCCAGGAAGCGCTCGGACTTCTCACACCTCCATGCAAAGTACTTTGGTGATTGGACAACAACAATAATAAGGTGAAAAAGCTGTCAGAAAAAAGTCTGGCTGTGTAGGCACTTGGTAGAAGTTGGCCCCTCTAATCACATCTGCAGTTTCAAACCACATCAAATACTTCTCTGAAGCAA